TTAGATTTATCATTATAGTTCTTAAACTTACTTCGCTTTCTCTTCGGTTCAGACCCTCCAGGAAGCCCGCTCCGTCGTCATCACACTGAAAAACAAATGTCATTACCCGTCTCCGTGACCAGTAACAAATCACGTGACGACGAGGACAAAGACAAGCGGCATGCAGAAAGACAGATCTCCTCACCCTCGGCGTACAACACCGGAAAGTTTCCGGAGAAAAACGAAGATGAAAAAGATAAGGACGAGAAACTTTCAGAGACGAACGATGATCTCCGACGGTTGCCCGAGACTCACCTTGTTGATTTTGGTGGCGTTAGTTCTTCAGAGCGACTTTTGTCTTCCAGCTCCTCGACCCAGGACATGTCGGCCTTTACAGGAGGCGCGCGCCGATCAGTCCCGGCTTCTAGTCGCGAAGGAGACAAGGCTGGAGGAGAGGGGACGCCAGGGGTCGAGAACAAAGGGCGGAGAGGTACGAGAGAGCCTGTTACTTGAAGTAGTGTCTATTTCAATCTATGCAACAAAAGAACATGCTCCTTTTGGTATTTTTTTTTACCGTAGAGTAAGTTTTACAGAGTAGAGTACATGTAAGTTTTATTTTCGGTTGACCATTGTTAAGTTGTCGTGAATTGTATGAGGATAAGAATCTTTAAATAACTCTCTTAAAACTCTGAAAATATAAAGAAAAATAATTATAACAAAGAAATACATTTTTCAAATATTGTGTAACCCGTGAAAACGTTTGGTTGTTTGAGTTTAAGCATCCAACACTTGTTGCACCAAATGTTCTAAATACAAGAGCCTACAGTATTTCGCAACTAACTTTTAAATTACTTTACCATGTTCCCGTTGTTTCAGCTCGTCCTCTCTCGTGGCGTGTTCGCCGCAACACAGGAAGTAAACAAAGTATTTTCAACTTTTCATTGCGTTCTAAGAAGTCAACGCATTTAAATGGTTGGTAACGACAGTCGTATAAAGAGATAAAGTCCTAAACTATTTAACGTTTACCCTGAGCGCATTCAAATGAAATCTCTTACCAGGTGTTTTTAAAGATTTAGATTTTATCTGCACGTTTTGAACTTTGTAGCTTAAAAATCTTCCATTAAATTTAAGCTGGAGTAAAATTATATTAAATTCGCTCAACTTATCAGTTTGAAATTTCAGATCGAATGAAAACTTGCATATATCAAAAGTTAAACATTGCGTTTTAATGACCGATCATGTAGATAAAAACGATAGAAGGCGAATTTGAAGTGTAATTCAAACATAACGTGCTTCGGTTACTGTTAGGACCCTGGACACGAGATAAATACTTAGGTTATAAATGATTTTTTGTTGTTATTCACATCAGTATCCATAGAGTCAACGAGCAGTCGTGAAACACGTGATGTGGACTTGAGCCGGCCGGGAAGCGTTGAAAGCTCCACGTGGACTAACAGTGTTGAGAGTCGAGGAGGTTCAAAGCCCAAACTGTTACACAGCCACTCGACGCGATCTTTTGATAGGGTCTTAGAAGGGACCATCGACAAGGACCCTTTTGAGGGGGATCTAGAGCTCGACTCATGCCCCGAGTGCGGGACCTCGCTCGAACAGTTTGACGAGGAGACCCTTAATTTATGTATTGTGGTGCTTTCCACGTTTGCTCATCAGAGCCCCTCAATGGCAATGCCCCTCTTACTTCGAATACTGGAGTGCGTTGCGAGGTAAATGCGAAGGGGGACTTGTGAATATAGATCCTTTTGATATCTATCTTTGTGAGCTCATTGAAACAATTGGGAATTGTTCTGAAAAAAAAGTTCTTGACACAGTTAATGTACTCTTTCAAAAGGCATTTTTCATGAATTTATGAATGTAAAATAAGAAAATGTACTGCAGAAATGAAATGAAAAAGTTCATTAATAGTCGCAATTTATGCAAATGAAACAAAAAGCCTGGAAGGATAAAAGAAGCTGTGACTTCCTGGAGAGTATCACACCAGTGGCGTTTAAATTCTCATTGTGATCTTTTTTTCCTTCAGAAAATGTGTGCATCCTATGTTTGCTTGGCAAGAGAAAAGGTAATTTTTCAACAGTTCTACTAGATTATGGAACTCAACCAAAGTTTCGACATTGAAACATTTCATCTGAAAACCATCACGCAAGTTACAACATCGTTTCGCTGGTAGTTTTGTTTGCGCAGGGAAACCTGAGAAAACGAGCAGCAAAGTGGCGAGAGGCTTGGGACGGAAAATTAATAGAAACGAATCGAAGCCCCGGTGCTCGTTTTTGTGGTTACACTGCTAGCTACACGGTACTACCCAGGATGCATACAGACAGTTTTAGATGGTTTATGGTGGTGTTTCTGTTTTATTTTATTTCCCGAATATTTTTTTAATGGATACTTATTCAAATGTCCATTTTTAGTAACCTGCTGATTCCTGGTTCAATAAGAGAAGTAGCTAAACAGTTTCTGAGATGTGTTCTCATAAAGCTCGCGCCTAACGGCATCTTCTCAGAGCTGTTCCGTAGCTCCTTGAAAGGTAAGAAATCAACTTTGCTTCGATTGCACTGGTGACTAATCTCAACAGACGGCGCTTTTATGCCAATTTCCTCACATAACTGGTCATTTACTGTCTGAAGTATTGAAATAAGCTCCTCTAGGTTACACGTGTTAACGCGCGTTTCTTTTCGGCTTTGCGCAGTGAAGAAAGTCGTTTCTGAGACCTAAATGTTCTTCCTAGAAATCATGCGCGAGGTTTGGTTGATTCCGAGATTCATCAGTGCAAAATTCATCAGTTACATTTTCTTATTTATTGGATTGTTTTCTCTTTCCAGATGACACACTTTTAAAAGCTGTTGCAATCTCCTTGAATGATTTTTCATCCTTTGACCAAATGTCTCCAATAGCTTACTTGCTGGAGGTACTGTAAGATCTTAGCGGCCTTTCTTCTGTTATATTTTGGTAATTATTCTGAAAGCCTAGAGTTTGCTTTAAAGGAAAGTACGGTGGAGTTTTTATTACCGTTAATGTTGTATCGTTCCTTCTCTAACCTTTAACTGTATATGGTTATTTAGTTGAAGCCGAGAGGTTTATTTTTTTCTTCACTTATATAAATTAAAAATTTCTTTCTGTATTCAACGAAATGCTGAAAGTGTGTAATTTTTTTAATTGTACATGCGCAAATACGCTTAAAATATTGCTGATAATAGAAATATGCACGACACTTATCACATGTGAACCAATCAAATGGGACCAAAATAGGACAGGTCTTGCTTTTAAAATTTCCTTATCCTACAAAGTACGCTCTTGACAAATGTTCCATCTTTATGTTAGACCAGTTAAAATGCCCACTCACTTTAATTTTGGCTGATGTGATACTGAGCTCTCAGAGTATGCGTTAAAATAACTCTATGAATTGCAGTGGCAAGAATTTTTTTTTTCATATTGAAAAAACAATTTTATTTGCTATCCTTTTTAGGATGTTCTTGGGTCCAGGACTCTTAGCGATCGTGTGCTGGTGTTACTGAGCAACTTGGACACGTACTTTCAATTTGCCTCACGTGAGCCCACGAGTGCCTGGGAGAGTCAGCTGTCTCACTTCGAAGCGTTATTTAGGAAGCTACCTTCAGTGTTGCCCGAAAATGTAGGTGCTCTGTTCTAAAGTAAATAATAACCTTAATCCGCTCATGAACACGATTTTATTGGATGAAAAGCTTCTGGTGTCCACCACTTTTATCTTGTGTCTTAAAACAGCCTTATTTGTTTTTTTCTTTAATAGCCCGATGTTACACCAACATTTCATGTCATGACTGCAATCCTTAATGCGGCGAGTTCTTCTTTCAAGGTAAGAGCATTTTCCCGCGAAAAAGATATGTTTCTTTCATTACTTGCCATCGCAAAATGTCTGCCATGCAATTTATGCGAGTTTGTCTTACAGGGGTAAGCGAGAATCTCGACCAAAAAAACATCCTTCTATTTCAATGTGTTGAATAACGCTATGCTTTACTTCTCGCTCGACTTCAGCCAAGCCTGATTGTTTGCTTACTTAACTGGTTTGTTTATTTTTTCAGATGTTGCTGCCATCCTTCGCTCAGGTGATCAGTTACGCCATCAACAAATGTTCATTTCAGCTTCAAGATCTGCTGGAACTTTGTGTGAAGTGCACCGAGACTTTTCCAAAGGTTTGCCAACATTTCTCTCCCGTGAAAAATGTTAGTTTGTTAATGCAGTTCTTTATCCCAGGGAGCGCACACGTTTCCTGTCTTTCCCACATAAATACATGCCTGTTAATTTCAGAATAATTTCAGGATCAGATAGGTTCAAGTCTTATCACCTCTCATCTTCGGAGTTTACTCTAAGTGTTCATGACATCATGGGTTTAAGAGTATTGGTACTCTTCCCAGGATGGCGCGCCATACTCCTGGGTTGAGGGTGGCCCTGTGAGAGTGAAGTGTCCAGCCGAAGAACAAAACATAACGACTTGGCTCGAAGCCGGAGTCCAGCGCGCAAACCACAAGATCACAGTCTTTTACTTATAGGTTCGGATTAAGTATAGGTAATAACATGATTTCGAGTGCAATTTGTTGTTAATTTGCACGAGTGAATTTTTCAAAGACAACAAAAATGCACGAGCCCATAGGGCAAGTGCAATTTGTAGTCTTTTTAAAAATTTACAAGTGCTTATTACACCAAATTGCAGGAAAAATCATGTTATTACTCGTTAATAACGTACATGAAAAAATATCACAGAAAGTCAAGACAGACTTTGCAGTTGCGTTACATGAGAATGCACTCGTTTTCAGCCAATCAGAAGCGCGTAATTTTTTCCATATACATTATTAACATGAATAAAATGTTAAAACTACTTATTCTTTTTTTCTCCTGACTTAAATCTTTCAGGAGCGTAACAAACTGTTTTTGACTCGTGCTGTTGTGTTGGAACTGGTCCATGCTGTTAAATTTCGTTCTTCACTTCCCGACACGAACCTCCAGTCTGTTCTTCAGGTACATAGTTACTCTAGAATTTTCTCTTTAATATTTTTTAAGTCTCTGTGAGAGATACTTTATCTCAATTGTTTGTCTATCAATAGTTTGTCGCTGTAGATGCTGGCAGCAGGATCAGCTTTGGTAGCGAATCTGACAACGCACCTTATGATCTGCCGTTTGGGGTGAGAATTGTGTGACATTTCCTAGCATTCCGTTACTCTTATAACTTTTCATGTACTTAAAACTTTTTTTTTTCTTTCTTCATAGTCACGCACTCGAGCTCTTGACTGCGTCCGTCAGTACATCGGGGAAGCATTAGAGTTCATAAGGGACTGGACTTTTACCGCCAGATCCAGTAAAGTAAGTGATATTAAGTCGATGGCCGGTACTGCGTTAACGTCCAGTTTAGGGTAGCTTTTGAAAGCTGTTATGGGTGACAACGACTGATGTTTCTACAACCAGAGCGGAAGTCAATAGAGCCAAGATAGGGATTGTAATGGTGAGGTTGTTCTTGGCCAGGTCGGTGAAAGGTCAGTTTCTGTTACTCATGAACGTTCCGGGCAATCACCACCCGGACGATCAGACTGTGCGTCCGAAAGTAACTCTCGTGTTTAAACTACCGACTACAGTGCGGGAAATATTTATTTTTGGTTAGCAGCTTGTCTTTTTCAACAGGAAAATCGCCAGCTTAGTGAACCAAACCTGCATCAGACAACTTTGCCGATCGATCTGAAAGCCAGTGTATCCCAGCTGGTGGCATTGGAGCTCACTAAACACACAGAGGACAGCAAAATGCATAACAAAGCACTGGCATGGCTCAAGAGTCCTCCTACAGCTACACAGTTGGGGTAACTACTCACTGTGCTCTTTAATTTGCACTATGCTTTAACTCTCCCGTGTCTTAGCTTGATAGCAGGAAGTGACTACAATTACTGCTACTCCATGAGGGGATGCTAGTTGATCACAGATTCAAACACCCCCCTCCCCCTTCCCGATTATCTTATCAGGCTTCCCTGACTGGTCCCGGTACCTATTTAATACTCGTGAGTGGAGAGAAGTGTTACACCAAAGCACTCTACACACTGACCAGGCCAAGACTCGAACCCAGGCTTCTAAATCGGAAGCTCACGCGTTAACCATCAGGCTACCTTGCCTGTCTCTTTTTCTCTTACAGGCGTCAAGAACTGCTGGATTGCGTGACACATATGCGACTGCTGGCCTGGTTACTGCACGGCTCATTGTCACACTTCGTTCACTGTCGCAATCCTCACGTCAACTGTCACCCAGTCAAATTTGAGGAGAACACGCATATTGCGGACTACGTGCTTATAATTCTGTTCAGCTTTGCGGAACAGTTAAAGGTCAGAATTCTTCTCTATTGGCGTTTAAATGGTAAACGTTGAATAAACCTCCACAACCGATTTGTAATTCATGCGGAAGGGGAGGGTGGGGTTTTTGTGCAAGCGTCAAAAATTCAGTCAAGATATTGCGAACAAGGTTCAATAAAAACATCTGTTTGAAATTTATTTGCGCCATTTTAACACTGTCAGTCGTTGCCTTTTCAGGAACCTTTGAGCAAGTCTGCCCTTTATCATGCGTTTAATGTTTGTGAGGTAAGGAACACTGGAAACGTCCGCTTTCTGTTTTGCAAACGATGATTATATATTTCATACCGTACATCTGCCTGTCTAAGACCAATATTGAAATATGATGTTTACGAGCACCGTTGAAATTAGCTTCCTGCTCGAAAAGCCAGCTGAGTCTTTGAAGTCGGTTGTGGTTTGTTAACACGAAAACAAAACTGATTTGGAATCCATGCAAAATCATACTTTGTGGAAAGCAACAAGGAATGTTACTCTTTTTCATTGTGACAGTTGTGGACGCTGTACTGTGATCAAACCAAGAGTCCAGGAGAATCGCCAACACACGCAGCCTCCATCGTTATGGAGTTCTGGGGTAAAGTAACTCCAGGCATTCTCCATCTTCTGACTCAAGCAAAGGAGGTGAGGGATTGTGGTACTTCGACACTCGGTTAATCATATTTATACCGTTGAACTGGAGTTGGTTGGGGAAAGTTAAAAGGTCACGGGTTATTGAGTTTATTACTTGGCACTGATCATGAGAGTAGTCCTTTTCAAGACTTCACTCATTCGGATAATCACATTTTATGTTTGCTTCCTACAGTGTCCCTTACAACCAGGCGTATACCTGGCTAAATACGTGTGAGTTAACGGCCCAAGTTTATATGTTCAGCCTCCCAAGCAATAGAAACAATTCTGATCAAGCCAATTTTAGATGTGTTCTCTTGAACGGAACTCATCTTATTTTGTCTTCGGGTTTGAATACCTTCAAAGCATGAATTTTTTAAGGGGACTTTTCTGCAATTTTTCAAAATGCAGCTTACCTACGAAGATCATTTCTTTACTTTTACACTGATTGTTTTAACAGCTGACACAGACCGTTAGTCACCACTTCCTGAACTTACTGGAAGCTCTTCAAGAGTGCAACTCCACCCCACTACCCAAGGTAAGCACGCGCTAAGCACTTGATGGAGTTAACATTTTCTCTTCATTTTTGAAAAACCCGACATGACCCCGGTCATTACAAAGAGGTGCACTTTAGCTGAGGTTAAATATTGTGTTGAAGAAAGAAGAGTCTGTTTACCTGCCAAACTGTCTGTAATGGTGAATTTCCTTTTTACGTTTCGAGCTTCGTCTTTATTTTGAGTCATGAAACAGTGAAAGGCTGTTTTTTTTTATCTCGTTGAACAGCTATATCCGATGTGGTACCCAATCCTTACTTACTGCTTCTCTCAGAAGGTGAGTGAGATGGAATGAGGGAGTTCAAGGTTTGTTTATAATCAATATCAATCACATGTTTACAATATGCATCCAGCGGAAAGCTAAGTGAAGTTTCACGTGCTTCAATTGATAGTGAAAATTGAACAAACTTTATTGGTTCTGAACGGTTACGTTAGGGGGATCTGTGGGTTAGTCAATCCTTGTTATACCATTGGGCATGTGAGGCCATCGCCAGAGATCGCCACTCTTTTCTGTCCTTTGCCCTCGTTAGCTCCTCCTAACTGACCCCGCTCTTCTACACCGTTTTCAATTGTCCGTCGCCAGGTCTGGGAAATAGGGCCAGATTATTATTTTAGGACCTTAAATGATATTGATAAAAACGTTTTTAGACAAGTGAACTATTCCATAATCTCTTTTTGAGGTCGTGCTGTTCTGCTGAAATTGATAAAATACAATAAAGTTTGACACGTGTTTTGAGATTTTATTTAGAAAATTGTCCAACGGTGCGGTCGAATTGACTTACGTGGACTTATGTAGCATTCAGCGGGACGTTTAGTTATGATAATACACGGGTGCATTCCGTGCCATTGTTTTTAGTTCTCCCGCTACCTTTTTTCTGTGATAGCAATCGGACGCTGCTCATGCACGTTTGCGTAAAGCTCAGTCCCGGAAGCGGATCAACAAACACACGAAGTCAGCTCTGGCCAAGTGGTTAAAACAGCTACAATTCAAGATGGCGCTCGCAGAACAGTCACCTGACAATTCTTTGTTCAATAGCATATGAGAGACATGAAGGATATACTTAGGACAGATCCACTTCTTTGGCCCTCAGCGAGGGGTATAAGTAAAAATA